ATACCCTGTCCTAAACGCCAACCATGGTACAACGTCTCACTAAAAGGACTGCTTAATAAAAAAAGCGCCTTTTTCGCCGCTGTAGACTATCAAGTTCGGCTGAAAGGTAGGCGGCTTATGCGGGCATCGCATCAGAATATAAAAAAGCCCTTTCTCGTGCAAAAACCGAGTTTTATCAGCGAACGCTTCCATCCCTCTTATCGACTGATCACTGCAAGTTCTGGAGGGCTGTTAATATGAGCAGATATAAAGATGTAAAATTAAAAACACCGGTTAGAACACTTGTTCCACGAGAGCAGTGCTGCGTGTTGCTCAACAATACGTTTTCTTTATCTTTTACTAAAACAATTCCTACTTCTTTTCCTGTTAAAGAAAGCCTACGTCTTGAACCAATGGAACCCATTTTTATTGACTGTGCTGGAATTTTCATGCTGATACAGGGGGCTAAAATTTCTTTATCTTCTGGAATAGATACAATTAACTATAAGTTTCTGAAAAGTACCAATGTGAACTCCTCATTGATCCTTTCCTATATTTTTTCACAGTCTTTACGGTGTTCCTTACTGCCCGACGACTGGAAGGGTGGAAAGGTGATTCCATTGTACAAGTCTGGTGAAGTTTTCTCCCCTTTTAACTATCGACCCATCTCTCTTACATCAATCCCATGCAAACTACTCCAACACATCATTTACACTAACTTGATGAGCTTTCTAGAATCTAACTCATTTTTTACAGTCTACCGACACGGTTTTTGCAAAAATCATTCCTGTGAAACACTATTAATCACCTTCACTAATGATCTCTGTTCTTTGTTGGATCGTGCGTCAGTAGTCGATTGCATGTTCATTGATTTCGCAAAAGCATTTGACTGCGTCTCCCACCCACTACCACTTTATAAACTTAGCAAACTGAGCATTGACCCTAAAATTTAAGGTGGATTGAATGTTTTCTGCAGAATCACTTTCAATATGTAGCCGTTAATGATAACGAATCTCCTTACTGTCCTGTTACATCTGGTGTCCATCAGAGATCAGTATTGGGGCCTCTTCTCTTCCTAATTTATATTAATCATCTTCCTGATACCATAACCTCATCAATACGTCTTTTCGCTGACGATTGCGTTATATATAGAAATATATGTGAACCTTCTGATCCCTCACAACTTCAAACCGACGTTAACACAATATCAGCCTGGTGCAACACCTGGCTAATGAAACTAAATGTCGACAAGTGCAAATATATGAGGTTAATTCGGATAATCAAGCACACCCCTGTAAACACATATTTCCTGAATGGCTCCCCTCTATTATCGGTTACCACCTACAAATACCTAGGCGTTCAGATTTCAGATAACCTTTCGTGGCACTCGCACATTGAATTTATTAGCAATAATGCGAACCGCATGCTCGGCTTCCTTCGACGAAATTTCTCTCGAGCTTCCACTTCATTAAAACTGCAGCTTTACAAAGCCCTTCTACGGCCGAAGATTGAATACGCCTCTTCTGTATGGGATCCACATTCTGCCAATCTTGTCTTCACACTTGAAGCTATCCAAAATCGGGCCGCTCGTTTCATTCTCTCTGAGTATTCCCGGTCATCCAGTGTCACTAACAGCCCCGCCGCGGTGGTCTAGTGGCTAAGGTACTCGGCTGCTGACCCGCAGGTCGCGGGTTCTATTCCCGGCTGCGGCGGCTGCATTTCCGATGGAGGCGGAAATGTTGTAGGCCCGTGTACTCAGATTTGGGTGCACGTTAGAGAACCCCAGTTGGTCAAAATTTCCGGAGCCCTCCACTACGGCGTCTCTCATAATCAAATGGTGGTTTTGGGACGTTAAACCCCACAAATCAATCAGTGTCACTAACATGAAAAAAGTAGTACAACTACCTGATCTTGCAGCCCGTCGTATTATATCTCGCCTATGTGTTTTCCATAAAATATTTTACACCAATCAGACCTTAAAACAATCCCTTTTTTCAGTTCCACCATACGTGTCATCCCGCATTGATCATCCGTTAAAAGTTGGTGTGCCAAACTCTCGAACAAACCTCTACCTGAACTCGTTTGTCCCAACGACCAGTGTGCAGTGGAATCACCTTCCAGCCTCCATCGTCTCCATCAGCGACGCTGCGCACTTCCGATCCACTGTCAGCAATCAGTTTTTGTAACCACCCCGCTGTTGTCTTTTCTCTTGATTGTTTAATACTGTACCCCTCCTCTCTGTAACGCCTTACGGCATTGAGAGTAAATAAATGAAATGAAACGAAATGAAATGAAATATCCTCAATATAACTGGTAGAGTTTTCGCCAGCCTGCTGAGAGCGGACGAGCAAGCGCTGTTCTACCCGCTGCTCGCGGACAGCTGACCAACCTAACACTTCAGCACATGACGTCTTGAAGACGGTCCATGTGGAGATGTTGTGTTTGTGGATGTTAAAGCACAATTTGGCCACGCCAGTTAGCTAAAATATGGCGTGGCCCAGCTAGTCGCCTTCATCCCACTTATTATTGGCGCTCACCAGCTCGCAGTGCTCAAGCCAGTCATCCAAGTCGGTCCCATTCGCACCGCTGAAGATATTGGGGTCCCGTAGCCTAGGATGGTCAGGGCTTGTGAACTCGGGAGAAGACTCCGATGGGTTGGCGTTGTCAGTCATGACGGGCAGTAGCGTGCGGCTGCGCAGCTTCAGGGGATAGCGACTGGGATAAACAGCACCCTACACCAGGTGTGGAGAGGTTTATTAGTCGTTAACGACAACGGCAAGAGAGCGTGAAGAACCATCCAGTAGAGACCGGCATAGCAGCGAACCGAAGCACGAGCCGGGAGAGCTGGGCATTGGCGACGCTGCTCGCTGCAGGTACACCTTCTTCTTCACACTTAGAATTACTACGGTCCTTAGAATTACTCTAGTATAAAGACACACATTCAATACATTGGCGTGTTGTTACGGTGCCTAGATATGCACAATATTTGCTTTTTTATTTGACAATCGCACAGGTATTAACGCATAAATATGAGCAATATTGGTGGGCGCTTCGGACGAGGTTGGCCATTTTGGGTAACATTTGGTGCCGTTTGGGGTATCTTGGTGGTGAGACAGGCAGACAGACAGAAAGACGGATAGGCAGACGAACCGTCGCACAGAATGACAGAAAAAACACCGGACGGACGGACTAACTGACATACTGACAGAAGGACAGATAGGCGGACAAACAGACGAATAGACAGACAGACGGACAGACGCGGCCAGCGGACGGACAGCCGGATGTACGCAGGCAAGGACGAATGGGTGGGTGGAAGCTTCGCTTCAATGATCCTTCTTCACTCCGCGAATATGCTGTGATTTTTTATTGTTTAATAAGGCACATGAGAACTATTCCACCGACCCAACCTTGGAGCTCAAGGTCCAGTGCCAATATATATGGAGTGGGCTGGCTAGTGAACAGTTGTGTAGCGCGAGCAGTCGGTGTCTTCAATCAAGAAACTTGCTAGCGGACGCTGCCTGCGTCGCCATTCTGTAGTTTGGGCGCCAATTTTCTAACGTAACTGTAAGTACATGAGGGACAATGTTTCTTTAAGCCCTGCGTAAAGATGTCTTTCAAGCGGAAAATAAAAATATGAGTTTGACGATGGCCTTCAAAACTGCGCAGCGTTAGTTTTCTCGGAAGAAACGGGCCGGTGCCTAAACTTGGTGACCATCTTGGGATATAGCAAGTTTCATGTACCTCCGCAAACATTGCAGAACTCAAACCGAAAAGCCTCGTTTTAGACACTTCGCAGACGCTGTTCGCATAAATAGAGTATCGATTACCAACTCACAATGACGAAATTACGTGTGCCTATTCTATAACAAGCGTAATCTTTTGAGCATGTTCATGAAACCAAAAATATATAATCAAATCAAGAAACCTCTCTTCCACCTGTAGCTATTAAACTTTCCGTCTTGTGTCACAAATTTTGCTCAAAGTGGATCAGAGTGATGGCCAGATATAAGATTTTCTGTGCTTTGATCGCACAAGAACAGCCGACGTCAGAGCCGCCGTGAACCTGAATCTTTCCTTGTGAAATTCGGTAATTTATTTTCCGCAAACTTGTTGCCGATGATTGCTCTGCTAAGATACGCGCAAGTAAGGACAATATTCTCAACTTTGCATTTTACATAAGTCGTGGCCTTTATGTGCTAGAGATTATTTTTTCTAACACGGAAGGAAGTCTTGGGCTCCACCAAAATTTCAGAGACGTACTTCTGTCAAGGAAGTAATGTCTAAAGATAACACAAAATAAAAAAGTGCTGTCTTGGTAGGCCAACCTAGGACCTTTCGAAGAGCGACATCTGCCGGGCTCGTGGTCAACTGCGTCATGCTCACATACTTTGTAGGCTTTACAAACACGCCTTTTATATCTACTACAGGCCCGTCAGAAATATCTTGGTAAGGTGTAACAATGCATTATGACCGCGTATTGCACGATCCTCACCTTCAATGTTTTTTTTTTGTACGCGTCTGTAATCTTCAGTGCGTTTCCCATAGGAGAAGTGAAATTTCGAGTACGGCGAGTTTCATGCCGCGAGTACGGAACCTAAGCCCAAGTTTGGAATAAACTTAGTCATGCTCGTCCGGTCCTCAGACTTCTCTCTTCGGTTGCACTCTAACCATTAACTACTACAGTTACCACAGGTATCCACGGCCACAAGGTCATGTTTAATTGTTAATCAATCAATAATCACCGAAGTCTGTCGTCGGGACAGAGATGCATCACTAAGTGTCAACGTGGGTAAATTTACGTCAACCAGTGCTTTAACTGATGATCACTGCCGACATTGCATGAGCTCTCCAATGTCGATGCACTATGAGCACTAAATTGCTTCTGGACGAGACGTTTTGCTTTCAGGTTCCACTGATTCTTATGACAGAAGAATCAACCATGTTTTTTTTACATTAACAGCGTTTTCATCCTAACGACTTCTTATTTATGAGTCGGCGCTTCTGCTTTTCTCTTCCTACAGGCTCCTTCAAGACAACGCAGCCGCTGTCCTAGATGGCAAGCGAGAGGGAACTGTGTTTCTTCCGATGTGCGGAAACGCTGGTGAAATTAAATGGTAAGCAAGTTGCCCTTATACCCCCTCCCTGCTTTCGCAAATATATGCTGTGTAGAATGAATTGGTTTAAGTAGCACTATATGCAAGACAGAGCTTGATACCAAAACTCAGCTGCGATATATTCGGTGACATCTCAAACCTGTCATCCAATTTCATGTGATATAAAGTAGAAACATAAAGGCTCGTTTTAAGGGCGAAGCTTCTTAGGGTATGCGTAGTCGTTTCCTCGTCAGTAGTAGTAGTAGTAGTAGTAGTAGTAGTAGTAGTAGTAGTAGTAGTAGTAGTAGTAGTAGTAGTAGTAGTAGTAGTAGTATGTAGCTACCTACAGGTTAAGGAGTGCTCAATAGATGGCGTTGTGTGTGTATGTCCTCTTCGGGCTGTCACGGTGGATGGACGTGTTTTTTGAGCGCTCCGGATCGACTGCGCAGATAAGTGTTTTTGCATGTTTTGAGCTTGTCTTTATAATTATAAGACAGCGGTTGAAATCTTCGTAGCATTTATTTTATGGGACGGCTTTTTCGGGGGCCAGTCACCAGGTATTTATTAGTTAGTGCGGGTGTGTGTGTTTGAATTTTTTGTTGTTTTTTTTTCTTTTGCCACCCCGTGGGGGAGGTGCGCGTACATTGAACACGCAAATTTTTGTAGTAGAGCTTATACTTTCTTTTTTTTCGTAGTGCAGGGCTCGAGTTTAGTAATTATCGAGTATAGAGACAATTGGTGTCAGAAAGACATGGTTAAATAGACTGTAGAGTGTTCAAGTTGTGGAGTGCGTTTGAAAGTGGACCCAAGCGTAGAAGCTGATGGAGAAAAGGCTGACGCGAAGTGTAGGCAATGTGAGTTTGAGGAAAAAATGGAGAAAACGGTTGCCCAGAATGAACTGCTGATGAGAATCGCCGAGCTCGAGACTGCGTTGGCGAGAAAGCAAGAGAAAACGAGGGCAATGGGAGAAAGATTTAGGTCTGCCGAGGAAGCACTAGCGAAGCTGAATAAAGAAGCGGCCTACGGAGAGAACCGTAGGGAACCGGCAACTAGAACGGTGGAAAAGGAAGAGCAAGCAAGTTTAGAAAAAAACAGGTTAAGCTGGTTCAGTTGTCGCAAGGCCAAGCTTCAGCGAGGTAGTGGTGGGACTGGGAGGGGACAAAGCAGCCGGCGTCACAGGTGCAAGTAGCCCCCTGGTGCAGGACGCTCCAGCTGAGAAGTCATAGCATGTGATAATCGCCGGGTACTCGAATTTAAATCGATGCACAGAAGCCATCAAAGAGAGTGTAAGAGGGGACAAGAGGGTTGCAGTAGGGGCGTTCCCAGGAGGCAAGCTTGAAGCAGTCATGAGGCAAGCGAGCGCAAAACTAAAAACTACAGCTGATAGACGAAACCTCGTGATCATTTCAGGCGGTTTAAACGATGTCTTACATGAAGATACAGCAGGACTAGCAACCACACTGGCGAAAGGCGTCGACGACATGCGCGCCACTTCTCCTAAGGTACAGGTAGTGATATGAACGATACCGGAGTTACCGGTGCGTGATAGCAACCTGCAAAGAGCGGTTGTCAACGCAAACCAAGAGATATGGCGAATGAGTTGAGAAAAAGGCTTTGAGGTGGTGGAAATAAACAAAGAGGTGCATAGGTGGGGTGGTTTTCAATGAGACAGAATTCACTTCGATGAGCGGCTAGGTCATGAGGTGGGTTGGCGACTTGTAGGACGCGCAGTAGTTTTTTTGGGGGGCAAGAGAGCCCTTCGGGGTGCAGGATAGCTAGTAACGAGGAAAACAACCAGAGAGACTCTTCGACAGGTAATATGGACAGATACGATTCCAAAGTGGCACCAATATCTACGATAGGTAGATTCCAGGGCATATATAGACGTAGCCACGAGCGCCGAGCCAATTCAGACATAGGGTATATTAACATGCAGTGTGGTAGGAACAGGCTGAAGTGGGAAGAGATAGAAGAACAGCTAAGGGAAGAAAGGCCGATGGTATATGGTGTTGTAGAAACACATCTCACGGACATGAAACAACCTCCGAAAAATCCGGACTCCACGTGGGAATATTGTAATAGAACAGAAGGCAGCAGAAAGAGGGGTGGTATTGGGGCATTCATTCATAAAAGTACAGACTGGCAAAGGGTCAAGCAGGAGGGCAAGGAACATTTATGGCTAAAAGGGAAAGTGGCAGGCCAAATGACACTCCTTGGTTTCGTGTACTTGTGGACAGGAGCAAAGGCCAGAGAGGAAAACCAGGCAATTGTAGAGTGTATATCAAAGAACATTCAGGAGTTAGGAAGAGAGTGCGAGATAATTATACTAGGAGACATGAATGCGCACATAGAAGATATAGATGGGTATACCGACCCGACAGGCAAAATGATCATGGATATGTCTGAAAGGCTTGTTTTGATCATTTGCAACAGTACCGAGAAGTGTGAAGGGCAAATAACATGGGAGGTAGAAAGGCTGCACTCGACGGTAGATTTTGCACTGATGTCACATAGGATGTATGATAAGCTCAGGAGAATGCACATAGATGAAGGTGGCTCCAGAAGTCTGGGTAATGATCACAAACATATCAAGCTAAGTTTTGGAAGAGCAGTGAAAGTGGGAAGGAGACAAGATGAGCAACTACAGAAAAAATTTTATCCAGAAAGGCAAATTGAAATAGCCACTAAACAATTTGAGAAAGTAATCACGGAGGACATTAAGACTGTGTGGACATACATGAATCTAGTTAGACTCTTTGAGCTAGAGCCTTATGAGACACGTGACAAGTCACCCCGGAAAAGAAGACACAAACACAAAAGTTGGTCGGATGAGGAAGGTAAGAAAGCCATAGCAAAACGTCAGGAAGCCTCTGGGAAACACAAACATGCTAAGCAGCGGGGTGAACCGACAGATGATGATGAAAAAAATGGCAAACCTTTCTAAGCTGTAGAAGGGATGTATCCTTCTGATAAATGAAAAGATTAGAAGAAAGGGAGCTCAGTGGCTGGCAGAAGTACATAAAGAAGATAGAAAAGCAAATGCAAACTTTTGGAACCATCTAAACTCCCTAAGAATCGAGACAAGCCTAGAGCGAAGTTTTATAACTACAGCCCAAGGTGCTAGGCTAGAAGGGGACGATGCTATTGAATATATAGCAACAAGGTTACAACAAGAAGTGCTTCATGTACCACAATAGACAAGGATGAATCAAGTGGCGCAGTGGCTCCACTTTCACAACCAGATTGGGAAAGAGCTGAGAAGAGGACCCAGGCAGCACAGAAGGTTGGCCCAATATTGGGGATAGATCGGCATTGCCTGGCCCATGAACGGCCCAGTTTTCACAACGTACCGCCAAGATTGGCTATGCCAGCCAAATAGAACGGCGACGTTGGACCAGCGTTGACAACGTACCCCCAATATTGGTTCTGCAAGCCGAATAGATCGGCTATGTTGGACCAGCATTAACAACATTCCGCCAATGATGGCTGTGCCAGTCTATTAGATTGGTTATATTGGGCCAGCTTTCAGAACTTTCCGCCCATATAGGCTGTGCCGGCCTATTAGAACGGACACGTCGGGCCAGGTTGTACAAGTAGCAGCCAATATGGGCGGAGCCATCCAATAAGACCGGCATTATTGGCCCGCCGTTTGAACGTTATTGCCGGCGTCAGCTGAAACGTCAACATCACGATGTCATAATATTAGAATATGAGCCAATTTCTGCGTGTGCTGCTTTTTGACGCTGTTCTGGCCCCAATTCACGCACCGATTTTTTAAGTTAGAGAGAGAGTAATATATGTGCCGGGCACAATATTAGAACTATCTTTTCGTCATTAAACCATGCCCCGCCGCGGCGGTCTAGTGGCTAAGGTACTCGGCTGCTGACCCGCAGGTCACGGGTTCGAATCCCGGCTGCGGCGGCTGCATTTCCGATGGAGGCGGAAATGTTGTAGGCCCGTGTGCTCAGATTTGGGTGCACGTTAAAGAACCCCAGGTGGTCGAAATTTCCGGAGCCCTCCACTACGGCGTCTCTCAAAATCATATGGTGGTTTTGGGACGTTAGACCCCACATATCAATCAATCAATCATTAAACCATGCACAGCTCGTTGAAATGCATAATCGTTGGTTGAAGTTGTGCAAGGTAGACTTTTCAAGTGAGAAAAAATTACCGATCAAGTTTCTGTGTCAGACGTGACGTCCGATGCGGTGCTATCCATACGTATGACGAAGCTGCTGCGGATACCGCTGTCTTACGCGTGCATGTAGACGTCGAATATCTGACGCAAATCTTATCGTATCATGTGTCGGGCTAGCTATCTACGCGACCTATTCGAATCTGTTTTGCGTTCACAGCACAGTACGGTTAACGGCACTTGCTGCTGCTTGACGTGTGGGAAGAGCGGGGGTCGTCAGTTGCGTTATGGTGACTGAATCATACAACATATGCAGTTGCCGTGATCTAACACACAGACGCGCGTGCGCATGCACGCACGCGCTATATTCATGCAACGACCACACGAATTCCCAACAACATCGCAGCGAACGGTTGTAAGGTGTTGCGGAGTGTGTGGGCGTCGTAGGGCACCCTGTCGGTGCCCAGCTCGTTGCGAACGCGAATGTCGGCGTGGAACGCTTCTTTTTTATGTACTTTTTTTTACGTGTGCCCAAAACGGTAGGCTGCGCGATACGAGAAGTACGACACACAAAAAAAGAAGAAACGTGAATGCATAGGGCAAATCGTTAATCGCAGTGGCGTGAGCGTGCGTGGTTTTTTGTTATTAACGAAGCACATGTGCTTCCATAAAACATGACAGCCAAGAATGATGAAGTATTAATTTACATACAAATTACCATGAGTTGCTGAAACTCACGCAAAAGAACATAATTTTCTTCCTTGGATATTGATCGAGTGCCTTGGAATTATGCTATGTGAATTTGACACATCAACAGTGCATTATGATTCCCACCATAAGGGGCCACAATTTTGGCAAGTAATAGAAGTACTCTTCCCACCTGATG